GTCTGGACTATGCAAGCCTACAAGCGTTACGTTCGAGTTAAGACGACGGATCATCCTCCTCAGAAGGTCGACAGGCTTTTCGTTCCTCCCAACGTGGCCGACGCTATCAACAGCGCAGTGTACAACGGCCGCCACGCCGATGCCACGGTAATGCTCAAGGACCTTTGGACGCCGTACGGCTTTGATGAAATGCCACGGCTTATTCTTGTCCTTGCAAGACACCGCAGGGATAACAATCATTGGGTTGTCCATCGGTACGTAAGGCCCGCGGAGTCAGACCAATTTGTATCTAACCTCCTTTTTCATATTAGGTTCTCGATTCCTGAGGGCACGTTGTGCACTTACGACACCTATCCAGAGAAGGCACTTGCCGATGGACGGCCTCTTGGCTGGTGGTTTGCAATTCGCGCTGCATGGCCCCATGCCATGTATCCAAACCCCGACCACCTGGTCCAGAAACTTGTCCGCATTCACCGCCCACTCCAGCTCCTCATCGACAACTCGGTCGCTGCCGCAGCGATCTGGAGGAATTTGCTCATGGGGTCGAAGGCCGAGCGGAGCGTTGACTTGGTACGCATGCGTGATCTCGTCCACACAGAAGTCCGTGCCATGAAGCTTCGAAAGGAGCAAGGCAAGCTCGCCCTCCCGGCCTCTCGGGCTAGCTGGGACCATCAGATCACAGAGTCGTAAAGCACGGCATCGAACACTTTCGTCATTTAGCCTTTCACCATTTCGTTATACCTCATTGTCGCCTCGATACCACCTTAGAGCAATGTTGTCCGGCATCCCTACTCGGGTTTCTTGCATTCATTACTACTGTTGTGAACACAAATTTTGTATCTTTTCTTGTTGATGTACTTGGGAAGCATGGAGCGCAGGATCACTATTATTAGTACTCTGAAGAAATATAGTCTAAACCTCTACATGAACAGTGGGCGAAACTTCCTATGTCAGGGCTCGACTGGGACATGCGTTGTTGTGGGATGAGGTTCTTTCTCCTTTGAGCCTCGAACGACCGAGTCCAGTGTCTCGGTCCCTGATACTTGCCTATCTCGTCCTTTCTTGGCTCGGGGGTTGAGGATAAGAGCAGCTACGACGATAACGCCGTCGAGGATCTGCGAAGAGTTGGGCTAAGACTGTTGTAATTTGTTCGTAAATCAGGGTTCAACTCACGATGACGGCAAGGTATGTGGCTGCCGCCACGCCGTCGAATTTAGGCTTGAATACCAAGCTCAAGACGGAGAACAAGCCTCCGCCCATATCGACGGCCATGAACAGCATGGAAATGCCTACAGGAACCGCATCAACTAGGATCCATCGTTTTCTGGTCAGAAGATCGAGGGGAACTCGCCAAGGACTTCTTTGCGCTTCCAAATCTCCACGTATTGGGGTCTGTAAGGTCCGCCCGGTATCGGCATCCGAGCCCAGCGTTCGGCTTAGGAGAATCCACGTACATGAGCCCAACACTAATGATAACGGCACTAAGTATCCCGAAGGCTTGCAAGGCACGCTCGTTGCGGGATGCCTGGGATTATAAAGGAAGTTTGTAAATTTCCGGCTGCGACGGATCAGATCAAGACGCACTTTGAAGGCGAACACGAGTCCGGTCTGAATACCTCCGAACAGGGACACGAAAGTCAGGTAAGACAGGGCGGCAAAGAGCTTGGTCTTCTTTCCACCGTAGTAGAGACATTGCGCCCACGAAAGGGCTGCCAGCGCCGTGAAGAGCTGAGGTTGAAGTATGAGCTACTCGGAGAGCTGTGAACTTTTGCCCTCTGACACCGAGTCCAATTGATAGGCGTACCGGAATGTTGATATTCTTAACAACAACGTAGACACCCAGAAACAGGCCACTGAACGCCCAAAGAAACATGAGCCATGCAGACAGTCCTTCCGTCGACTTTTCTCGGTACGACTTGATGACCTGAGGAATGACCTGGATTGTCCACAATATGGTTCCTAAACGCCCCGAAGAAAATTTAGAATCTATCGAGCAGCCTCGTAGACAATCAGGACACCTACCTATCGTCCCGAGGACATTTTCTGCTACGTGGTTGTCTGGCATGAAAGTGGGGAATGAGGCAAATGCTTACGCCGCCAGTAAAGGAGGTAACAGATGGAGCCTGACGAGAAGATCAAAGGGGGGAAGGAAAGGGATATATGGACCCGCCTCGATTTCCAGCGCAATATATACTGGGACTGATATGCGTGGGAGGACCCTTGGGATGATGAAATGAGGAATAACGTAATAGCAGCTGCAGGCTCTAGGCAACCAAGCTAGGGAATTTTTGAGTTGGTGGCTCGAGCTCCGAGCAGAAACTCTGGAGCGATGGGCTCGGAGCTCACGGCGTTACGTAACGCCCGCTTTCAATGAGAAATCTTTACCGGATGCCGTTGACCAACTCTCATCACGTTTTTGCACCCGCCTTCCGAACGTGGAATACTTGCATATCGATATGATCATCAATACCATCCGAAGGACATGTACATCGGGTCCAGATGAAGCCCCTGTGGCCGGGATCCCCCAATCGCGCGCCCGTTCACCTCCGGGTCTTACCATCTTTTTTCTTATCTAACCGGACCGGCCGCTTCAACAGGGCAGCCATGGAACTATGACTGACTAGCACCCTTATCCTGTCCCTCCCCCGAATTCATTTCTTTCTCCTTCCTGTTTCGTGGGTCTGTCGCCATCCCGGCGTCTTCGACGGGGGTGGAGGCGTCACTTATGGGGCTCGGCAAGCCTTCTGAATCCACTGTGTTACGGCAGCCTTTTTCCTTGTCGAGATTCTCGACTTCTTCGGCTTGCCTACGTCGTCGGCGGGCAAGCGGGTTTAGAATAATGGCGGCGAGAATGATTATGCCGTCCAGGACCTAGATGAATCGTGGCCCACGGGGGCTCAGTTGCCAGTGATAAGTCACGCAAGGGCTAGAGAGGGCTTTACCAGGACCATGATATATGTTACCGCCGCCACGAAGTCAAATCGCGGCTTGAAAGTAAGGCTGTAGACAAGGCTAATTAGCATGCACAAAGCGTTATCACGTTCGTCCGGAAGTTACCTGAGGAGACAGAAGACGGCACCGGCAAAGTCGATAGCCATGAATAACTTGGAGAGGCCTAAATATTTGTTAAAAATCGTCCTTTTAAGCTGGTGGAGCGGAAAGGGCTCACCCACGACTTCTTTTCTCCGCCATATCTCTACGTATTGAGGACTGGAGGGCGTTAGCCCATCAGAGACACTGTAGAGTTTTTCATTTGAAACAGACTCACAGCAACGCGATGCTAATTAGAACGGCGCTGAATATCCCGAAGAACTCGAGCGGTCGACTATTACCATTATCTGCAATTGTCTATAACCACGTGGCTCAGCGTTCGACGAGCAAGGCATCGCAAATAGAAGTTTACCTTAACCACGATGGCAAGCCCGACTTCCGTGCCGGAAAATGCAGCGATGTACGCGACGTAGAGCAGTACACAGAATAGGACTGATCGCTTCTGCCCGTAGTATAGGCATTGCATCCACGATAGCGTTGAAAGCGCCGTAAAGAGTTGGGGTTGCAAAATCAACTATTAATTGAGTGCTGAATATTTGCGATCTCGAAGAAACTCATAGAACCTGTTTCGACCTACTGGCACGTTGATTTTTTGAACGATGACATAGACACCCAAGGGAATTCCACTGATCGCCCAAATGAACATAAGCCATGCAGACAGGCCTTCAGTCGACTTTTCTCGCCATGACTTCCAGATTTGTGGAACTATCTGTAGTGTCCAGCAAATGGTGCCTGGTAAACGGGGATATTTAACGAGCTTTGTTTGGTAGTCAGGAGTGCACAGACGAACCTATTGTTCCAAGAGCGTTCTCGGCGACGGCATTGACGGGCATGATGAACTGTGAGTAGTGAAGATGCGTAGAAAGTAGATGGGAGAACAAATGCACTTAAGGCTTCCTCTGCGACTAACTGCTTTAGCATTTTAAAGCGCGAAACCGACTAAAGAAAATATTTGGGGTGGCAGCTTGAAAGCTTGCGCTCACAGTCGTATGAACGTCTAGGCATAGCTACTCCCGTCCCATGATAACAAAATGCGGGGAGTCTCCATGGTCAGACGACCTTTGGTGCTGATGGGAAGGCCGCCGGTTAAACGTGTTTACGTTTGCGAGCCGACCTACCCAGTGGGTTAGGAAAAAATATTGTCTTCCTGGATAGATGAGCCTCTGCATATCGTGCCACCTGACGGTGACCACTGTCCATTTCCGAAACCTGGGCGCGGAGGGATACCCGTTTTGGGACAACCGAGTTCTCCGTCCGAGTGAAGTTCCGGTTCCTCCGGCCCAAGGGGACGGTTATGAGTTCTGATCCAGAAGCAGATCCTAGATTGGGTCCCGGAAACGAAAGCCCGCAATTGGTATAGAGCATTATTGCATTACATCTTATATGACGTTTAATGTCTCTGACTGAGGGTGACTGCCCCTGCGATTCCGAACGGGGTGGGACTTCGTCTAACAATTGGGGTGAAAATGACAGAGTCTAGGTCCAACTGTGTAGATCCGAGATCATGCTTAAACATCTTATCGTCCACGTGGTCATACCAGCACCTCCTAGCTTTGGATACGTAGGACCGCGACATGGGTTTTCATTCGCTGTGGCCAAATGGGCCAAGAGTCAAGGACTTGGGTGCACATCAAGGCCAGACATTCATTCAGATTATTACGCTTTATATTGAGGGTTTCTTGCAGTCCAGAGCTCCACCTTCTTGTCATGGTCCGGTCATGCGGATTAGGCACTTCCTGCCTTGGAGGGACAAGGCTCAGGGATATTTCTGCCCGGTTAGAAATAGAGAACGCTCAGACGGAGCTCAAGGAGTAATTCAGAGCAAAAGATAATAGTAGCGTACTGGTTTGTGGGGTCAGGGGGAAAGGGGGGTCTGGTTTCTCTCCTCCTCACCCCCAAATGCGCGGGGGGAAGGAGAAGGCCTCCAAAAACGAAATCTAGCAAAAAGATGACCGACGCAGGGGTTGAACCTGCAACCTCCCGCTATTCCCACACCACAAGGTATACCTGGGCGTTGATCGTAGGCGGACGCGCTGCCATTGCGCCAGACGGCCGTCAATGTTTGGAGTCCAAGGCGCAACACTATACGGCTTTACATTTCAGAAGAGCTAAGAACCTATGGTTCCTAACTTGAACAACAATCACACCTCTTCGATAATTTGTACACACAAATCGGCCTTTCAGGTAGTCTCTGAACTGGCGACGTGGGGAGCTCCGGGCCGTCGAGTCGTTCGCCAGACACGCTGGCTGGTTCTGCTGAAGCGGTCAAGACAAAAGTCCACACGAGTAAACAATATAAGATAGCACAAGAGAATCTCTAGTCAGAAAGAGCTGGGGTAGCACGCAGTGAGGAACAGTGATAAATTAGAGATAAAATATTTGCCCGGAACGCCTGATGTGCGATGGCCAAGTGGGGATATCAAATACTAACTGCTCAGAGATTGTGCCTAGAAGCTGAACCCGGTAAACTATAGTAGATCTCGTT